GTGCTGGGAGTCCCGTGGGTGTCCTTGGTGGTGGGAACCTGGCCTCGTGCGGGGACCTGGTCCTCCTCTCCCCCTCCCAGGGGACAAGGGCTTTTTACCTTCCCTGGGAAGCTTCCCTGAGAGCCCAGTAGCTCCCACAGCCTGCTGAAGGCCCGGGTCTCCCCCCAGCCCCAGTCCCCAGGCTGCGACAGCCAACACCATGACTCACATCCCACCCCCACAATCCTCAGTGGGCCTCAGATTGCCACCCAGCGCCCTGGCTTGTTAAGCAGTGCAGATGGCAATTAGCTGCATGATATGAAAATATCCCGACCCTAATTATTTCAGGATGAGGCCAGGGACCATTAATAAATGATGAAGGAGAGTCTTTCCAGAGGTTTCGCGGGCCCCTGCTCTGGCTTGTGGAAGGCCGGGCCGTTGAAGGGTCCTTCCCCATACAGAGTCAGAGGCATGGGGCAGTGAGACAAGGGACAGCACCCAGGGAGTCACCGCGAACCTTCTGGGGAAACCAGGCCACTCTTCCTGCACTTAAATGCAGCCCTCATCCTCCAGACAGGCCAGAAGCCACAACAGCAGCCCCCGGATGTTCCCTGGGGCGGCTGATTGTAGAATGCAGCCTTATGAATGACTTCCAGGAGGGTTCCCGGGCATCCACTCCTGCACCCTCCCATCTGCCTCCCTTCCCTGTCCCAATCCAAGCAGCAGTGACATTTTCCATTTTTCCCAAATTATGAAGCTTCCTCTGCACCTCCTTCTGAGGTGGTCCCTAGGGACGTGCCCACTGGGAGTGGCAGTCACACACCAGGAAGAAGGGATGGAGTGCTCAGATAGGGATCCGAGAAGGTGGGTCTGCCCTGTGTGTAAACAGTGGGTGTCGTTTTCCAGCACCCCATCCTAACAGAGCCTGGGAGAGAAAGAAAAAACGAGGTATTCATGGATCTTTTCATGTGCCAGAGTGAATGCAAATGCACGCTCACGCTCTTTCACACGCATGTGTGTGTGCGTGCACACACACTTGACCAGAGCGGGGCTCCCCTTCTTTGAAAGCCTGAACATGAGCACTAATACCTATGGGAAGAGGTGTATTTGTTTCACAAAAGGATTTGCAACAGAGCTTCTTTCAATAGTAAAAAACCAAAATGCATTGAAAATAGAATTGGATTTACAAGAATGTGATTTTCCTGTAATTCTCAGAAGCCCACACTTTGGGGGGGGGCGTGCCTACATGTGCGTGAAAAAGCAGAACTTGCTGATGTTTCTCGTCACCCAGTAGGGACATGGCGGGCATTTCAGAATGGACTCATCTCCAAGACAGTGGGGCACATCCCACCAAGAGGTCTGGTCACTAGAGGGTGGCCTCTAGTGATCTGGGACTACAAACGTCGCTTCCTTCTCCACCTCCTGCTAGCACAGGGGAAACCCAACACTAGACCCCTAACCTGCCACAAGCCCAGGGCTCCTGATTCCCCACCAGGTCCCATCCCCACCTGCCCTGACCCCGTAGCCAGCCCAGCCTCCAGGGATGTTTTGAGTGGGGTCAGCTAGGAAGGGTCTCTTCAGTGATCTCCACCAGCGCCTTGGTGAACCCGCCCGGCAGCAGCCTGACCCTCAGGACCCAAGAGGACCCTGGGCCTTCCATCTTTCTGCCAAGGTGACTAATAAAGAAGGCCAGGCTCCACCAGTGCCCTGTCTGTCCCCCTCCCACTGCCCTGCCTGGCCTCTGATCCCTGCTCTTGGGAATTCTTATCTCTCCATCTTCTTTACTTGGCCAGGACACCCTTCCGGATGAGTTCTGGACTCACTTCCTGGGTCACAAGCTCGACTCTCATTAAGACCTCACCCTTAGGACCTGGGTATCCACGAAGCCGGAGCCCCACAGGACCATCCTTGAAGCCTCTCTAAGGGCTGGACACCCAGGGACTTAGATAGACAGGGAGATTCAGGCCTCTGCCAACTCCAGTCCAGAACTTGTCCCAGTAGACACACGCAGACAGCTTGTAGACACACCACACCTCTTGAAATCTAAGCTCCTTTCCCAGGACCGGGAGGCGATCCCAGCAGTAAATACTTACTGAAGAAAGGCTCAAGCATAGCACAGCTATGGTGTTCCAGGCAGCATCCTAAGCCCTTCACATAAGTTAAATCATTCAGTCGTCACCGTAACTCTCCAAAATGGGTAGCGCCATTAACCCTCAGAAGCCCAGAGAGGTTAAGGAACTCCCTCAAGATCACAAAGCTACCAAGTGGCAGAGGAGGGAATTGGGCCCAGGCAATCTAACTTCAGAGTGCGAGTTTAGGGACCCCTGAGCCCTGCTGACTCCTCCGTCACTGGCCTCGGATCCTGCCCTTCCCCCTGCCCGCTCTCCTGGCCCCTCTGCCGTCCAGCTACAGCACGCCAAGCTCACTCTATGCCAGCTTCTGGCCTTGGCTTTCCCCTGCCTAGACTCAGGACCCACCTTCCTGCGGCCTCAGGAGACCTTGCCTGGGGCTGTCTAAAGCCATCTAAGTCTAAAGTGGCCCCTGCATTCATTCACTGTGCTTCTGCCCCAGCTGAAAGGACCCCGTGTGCTGGACACTGATTTTACCACTGCTGCTAAACTCCACGCGGCCCCTCATCTAGACCACCCCAGCCGGGCATCCAATGGGCACTGATAGAGACTCATGCATGATCCACAAGTGCCCTGTCCACACACTGCCCTGCCGTGCACTCCGTGTGCTTGTGAACACACTGTGGCAGGCACCTGTGCACACCAGTCTGGGACACGTGTGAGGCCAGACAGAAGTGGCGAGACCGGCTTGCCTCCAGAGGGCTGTCCAGCAGTGGACACTAAGAAACAGAATTCTCTGGGGACAGGCTCAAAGTTACCCGCCTAGAAGAACGCAGTAGAGACAACATAACCTCCACGTAGGGCTGAGTGTCCCCACCACCTGGGCCAAGCCCTCTGGCGTTGCCTGGAGAAATGGAAGTCTGGATTAAAAGGTGTGAGAAGCCAGCTCCTCCAGACTCCTCCAAGGGGTGAGGGCTAGGGTGGCCCAGTCGCTCTGGTTACCCAGTCAGACGTGGGGCTCTGAGGAGGCAGAGCTCAGCCAGGTGCACAGGGTGCCCTCCTCACCCAGCAGCGCCGCCTGCTCCGTGCCACTCTCATCCCAGGGCCCATCTGTGGGAAGGGGATGCCATCTCTGCCCCCGACAGAGAGGAGGAGAGAAAGAGGTAGCGGCACCCAAGCACACAGATGTTCTGCCCAGTGCTGCCCGGAGCTGGGGTGTTCTGTTCTGGCAGCAGATGTTTGGGGAAGGCAGGGTCGCACGGGGTCTTGGTCATGGATAGCCCCGCTCTAGCAGATGGGGCTTGCTCTGTGGCACTCGGGGCTTGTCAGTTTGTACGCTGCTTGAAGACCTCATGTGTGTGCACATGTGTGCCCAGAATGTGCACAGGGGGCAGTGATTCATGCAGTAGGAGGAGCAGGATGCCCTAGCCCCCTGGGTGGTTAAAAGCCAAGGAGTTAAACTTAGTCTTCCTAGGGGAGAGACACGGGGCATAGTATGTACCCCATAACCGTCCCTAGTAGCAGGGGCTGAGTTAGTCCTCACTGGCCTGGAGGTCCCCAGAGCCGCTGCTGCCAGGTGAGAAGGTTCTTAGAAGCATGTGCTCCAAGGGAGAGGACCAGGAAACCTCGGCTGGAGGTGGGCAACCGGCTGACGCTGAGATTGTCCTGCTCAGAGCATCAGTGACTATTCCTGCCCTGGTCCCCAGCCACCCGGAGATCTCCCAGAGTCCTGTGTCTGTAACATGGGACTAACAAGTGACCTTTTCAGAGCATCGTTGAGAGGCTGAAGGGAGAGAGGACAGGAGAGTACTCAGCACAGCCAGAACAGCACCAGGGCTCTCTGCTTAATCCCCCTAGGCAGCCCCCTCCCTGCCCTGCCTCTAGTGGAAACGTCCCCGCATGGTCACGCGGGCACAGGTGGCAGGATTTCCTTTTTTCACCAAAAACCATTTCATAGCATATGTATGACATTTTCTTTATCTACTCATTCTTCGACGAAAACTCCGCCTGTTCCCATATCTGGGCTACTGTGAAGGATGCTGCAATGAATCCGGAGGTCTCTTGAGAGAGAGGCTGCATTGGCAGAGGTGGGGGAGGGGGCAGGATGGCTAGTCGCCTCGTTCAGTTGGTGTGAAGTTTCAGTAATGCAATTCCTTCTCCGGATCTGCCGGGCCACATTGTCACCATTGTTACCGTTGACAATACCACATTGTGCACCTCAAAATGGTTAAGAAAGTTCTCACCACAATGAGGGGGAAACGGACCACAGGAGCAATGCCTTATCTGTCCACGTCACTGTGAGAGTGACTAAGGCGTGTGTGTTGGCTCAGCTGTGGGCCAGGATAGGCTGTGCCTGTCCCTGGTGCTGAATCTGCATGGCGCTCCCTGCGGCTGCCTGTCTGCCAAGGTCTCCTGGGTGACCCTTTCTTCCACAAGGATCAAAGCTCAGGACCTTTACCCAAGCGAGATCCCAGGGAAGAGGACCAGCACCACGTTTCCCTTCTGGGCAGACTCCACCTGGTCTTCTCAGGCTCCTTCCTACCCTGCACCCTCAGAGCTCAGGAACCAGGAGAAGGTTGGGTTTGCAGGACCTGGGGTCTTTGTTCCTGCCTCTGAAGTCCCCAACTTTGGTGAGGAGAGATGAAGAAGGCACCCCAAGAAATGCCCCAATTCCTCCCCCTTTCCAAGGATAAGACCCCACCATTCCTCATGGGCAGCAATCCTGGTAGGAGGAACGTGGTCCTCCATCCCCAATCCCCCCGCAGTTCCTCTGGGGCCCTCTGTACATATCCACATAGGTCAAGCTCTTCACCTGGACAGGCCCCTGCCCCTCCACCAAGTGTCCCGGCAGACCCCACCCCTGCCTTAAAGCTGACCATGGACATCTGCCTCACCCACAGCCCACGGGGTCAGACAGCTATGCCGGCTCTTTCAGGGACTTTCCTGCACCAGGAAGGGGTCAGCAGTTTCTTTAATGAAGACTTTATATCATATTCCTTACTTCTTAAAGACGCGCTTGGAGACAAAGACAATTAAGAGTCCATTTTACTTTCCACTCCTTTGGGGCAGAAGAGAGATGAGAATTCAAGGAAAGAGAGCCAGGTCAGGGTCTCCCTCCTCACCTTTCTGAACATGCTTTGCAGACAAGGTTCTGGCAACTCCAGGAGCGGCCTCTTCTCAGTGACATCCTGGGTGAGCTGCAGTGGGCCAGTGTCCTTCACAGGTGCGATTCTCATGGGTTCTACCCAGAACAGTGAAAGGGTGAGTCCTGGCTAACACAGGTGGCCACAGCGCCCATCCACACGGCGGCAGGGTGTGAGCCCCAGGGAATCGGGGCCCTGGGCTGCTGCTGTGTCTCTCTGGACTCATCAGGGGCATGGAGTCCTTTCATCTCATACTGAAAACACTGAGGCCCGGTGTCCTCCTGGGCCTGTGGAGTGGGACAGTCAGCCCACCCCTGTGGACCCGTTCTCCAGTCCAAGCCCTGGCGCATGGCTGGTGCATCTCTTCAGACGTAACCACACCCACTCTGGACGTGCTCTATGGATCAAAGAGGGCTGGATCTGATGAACATGGGCTGCCGGGAGGTGGGCCCAGTCCCTGGATGAATTCTGAAAGTCAACACACCCCTCGCTCCCCAGCACCATGCGGCACTCCTGGGCACAATCTTGAAGAGCAAATTCTAATAGATACCTAGAGGAGACTAGAGGGCCGGCCTCGGCCACTGTGCCAGTCCAGTGATTCTAGAACCCAGGCAACCGGACGTCGTCATTCAGAGGCTGCGACTGATGGCTGCATTCAGCGATGCGTGTAATTAACATACAGAAGGCTGTGAGCACTTCTGCTTCTCCAGCGCTGTGTGCTGCGTATTTAATTACTTATTACTTCACAGTTTGCACATACGCAACCCCCTGAGCTGCACCTTCTGCATGGCCACTTTACCCATTAAGGAAGTAAAGCCATGAAATAAAACCCTATTCCTGTCCCCGCCTTTGACAGCTGATGGAACCTCCTGTTGTCCCCAGGCCCAAGGCCCCTAAGGCCACCCACCTCAGCCAATGTAGCCACAGCAGACACACCCCAAATTCTGAAGCTGCAGTTTGCTCCCTGAGGCACCCTCTGTCCTCAGAAATGACAGTCAGCCTCACTGACTCCTAAGGCTGGCCTCTTCCCCTTAGTCACCTTCCACTAAATGGGGCACATGGGCCTGGGAGCTGCTGTGAGCCCCCAGGCCCTCTTCCAGCTTCAAGAGCCAACTCAGCTGGGTGCTGTTGTGCTTCACCACCCCTGGCCAGGCAGCGAGCTCCCCAGAAACACAGCACCAGGTGAGATGAGGGAAAAGCACACCTGTGATCATCAGCCAGCCATGAGCGACCCAGGCAGCTGGCAGGGCCCCGAGGGCCTCTCTCATAGCCTGGGGAAGCAAGTTCCTAAGAGTGACCTGCTCCATTTCCCCAGTCCTCGCATTGCTGCTGGACTCTAAAGCTCCTGGCCTGTGAGCTCAGATTCATGGCCTTAGGAACTACAGGATTATCAATTCCAGTGTCGGTGAGTGTGCTTATTGAAGACTTGCTTGGCCCTGTCACTTACCAGGACTGTGACCTTGGATGACCTCTCTGTGCCTCATCTTGCTCATCTGAAAAATGGGAGCCCTACTGTCCATGTCAAAAGCTTAGAGAGGCTTAGCTGGCATAGCCGGTGCCTGAACTCCCCAGGGACTGTGTAAAGAAGCGCCAGCTTCCCCTTGCCTGCTCACACAGCCCTCTCTACATGGAGGAGGGCCTTCCCTTCACAAGGCTTGGAACAGCCAGGTCAACAGGACACACCGCATGGGCTCTCCCTTTTCACTACAGTCACCGTGGCTTGGCCCATTCTGTGCCCTTGGAATATCCCATAAGGCCTGACCTCAGAATGCTTCCTGTGCTGCTGTCCCCCCGGGCCAACCCTAAATCGCAGAGGTCCCGCTTTACCCCCAACCAGGGGCAGCATGGCTGACGGGGGACCACAGCAGTTTTAAAAGGCCAGTGGCTCACTGCCCGCTCCCTCCATGCTTGGGCCAGTGTTTCAGACCCACAAGAGGAGAGGAGGCCTGGGGCAGGAGTGGAGCCAGGCTTCTTGACTTACCCTGAAGTGACAACTTCTGAGTCCTTAGGAGCAGGTGCCCTCCTGCCTCCCCTACTGGTGATGGGCCATAGGTGACAGGAAGAGTAACCGGCATAGGGGACCTTCCTGAGAATGAGCTGTGACCCCCAAAGCAAGGGAAAGAGCACCCTGAGGTCAGAATGCAAGCTTCCCTGGCTCAGAGCCCCGTCCCGCCACCCCCATGCCCTGAGCTGCAGAGGTCCCCTTCCCCGCTGCACAAGCCCAAATCAGAGGGTTTCATCTGCATCTCTTTCTGCACCATGGAGCCTGCTTCTGGCTTTCAGGATGGGCTGAGTTCCACTCGGGGGACACCAGAGGAAGACAGGTTCAGCTCACCACCAGCTGGGTGGCACTTGGGGTCCTGTTTGTTTTGTTTGTTTCCAATCCACCTGCTGGTATTGACTGTTCCGAGACTTCAGACATCCGCGGCCTGCGCTCTGTCCAGTGGCGGTCAGTGGGAGTGAGGATGCCCAAAGTTCACCTCTCCTCACCTGAAAGCAGGACACAAGGTGTCAAAGCCAGATCAAGTTCTCAAACCCTTGGTCCTTCCCTCTCACCAGGAGGAAGATCATTCTATTGTCCTGTATCCTCATAAAAATGCCATGACACCTATTCATTGCTTCATTCATTTAACAACTATTTCTTGAGCTAGAAATTGAGTATAACAATAAAAAAAAAAAACAGACAAAGCCACTGTCAGGATAGTCGGAATACAAACAGATAATTAACTATGTATGTGTAGGTGTTAGGTGCTGCTATGAAAATAAAGGAAGATCAAAGGATGGAATTTTTTTTATAAAGGTGGACAGGCAGAGCGTCTTTGGATAGATAATGACATCTAAAGAGAAAGCAAGAAAAGCAAACATTCCAAATACTAGGGGCAAAAGCACTCCAGCAAGAGGATACTGCCATGGGCCCTTGAGAGGAGAGTGGGCTGGGCATGTCTGAGGAGCAGCCAGGAGGCCAGCGTCAGGAGGGAGCATGGGCCAGCAGGAACGCAGGGAGGGTAAAATCAGTTTGGTGGGGCTGGGGCAGTGGCTGGGGCCATGGGGGACATTGGCTTTTCCTGGGAGTGAGATGGGGTTTGACAGAGAGGGACATCATCTGACTTATGATCCGACAGGATCCATCTGACCCCTATTGAAGACAGACTGGGATAGGAAAGTGCGGGATGCAGGGGGCAAGAAAGAAGCAGAGAAGTCATCTAGAAGGCTACAGAAATAGCTCAGGGGGCAGAATACCATCTGTAGATCCAGAGTGATTCAAACATTGAGAAGGGTGTTGAAGATTTGTTGACAGTGTGGGTTTGGATGGCCAGAGGTGAATGGCCAACTCTGGCAATTACTCCGCTGACCCAGGAATCTCCTACCCAACATCCAGACATCACATCCAGCCTTAACGAACACTCTCTGGTTGTGGAGAACAGTGATTTGAATCACAGCCTGACTCCCCCATGGATGCACTGCACTGGAACTGCCTGTGCAAAGGTGCAATTCAAGATGGCCCAGTTGCTATGGTGATGCTGACCCAAGGAAACCGCAAAGGATCAGGGTTCTCCATTGAGGCCTTGAGTTCAGGCACCAACTCCCAGAGATAGATGATGCTGAGCATAACAAGATAACCCTAATGTCTCGCTGATCCTGCATCCTTCAGACTGCCTGCTTTGCTAAAACTTTCTAACAAATTACCTTTTAATGATGAAACCTATAAAATAAATGTGCTGAGCTAGTTCTGAGTCAGTCAAACTCCATCAGAGTTTGGCTGCCCACCTGGCCCCACTTTTTTCTCTCTATCTGTATCTGTTTGTCTTTTCTTCATTCCCTCATAGCTCCTTGTCCATGTTCTTCCCTGAATTAACGGCTTTGGCTGAGAGACAGATGAGAGGGCTACAGCATCTGGTAAAGAACCCATGACCTCACATGCTAACCCTGCCCAGACCTGTAACCTCCTTTCTTATACTCACTCAAAATCCATGTCCCTGTGTTTCACTAAAGCAACTCAGGGCATGTGTCCACCACCTCCCACAGGATGTCCTCCAGATTCCCTGAGCCTGGCTTCTTGCTTAGCACTACTCTCAGTCCCCCTGGATGTGGAGATCCCAGGAGGAAGCAGATCTGGGTCTTGTACTAGGTAAGAGGGTCAGGGACAGATTGCCCTCTGAGCTGCTTCTCGATCATTCATGGAGTTTGGTAATTGATTGGCTTCCATCCAGGAATCTAACTTTGTCAAATCACTCATCTCCACCTGTTTTCCAGGTGAGGGATTGGAGTTAGATTAGATGGTGCTTCCCTACCTGAGAAAGTCACAGTATAGAAGAGGCCCTCCTGGATCCCCTCCTCCATGACTGCCTGCCTTTTAGCGTCCATGGCCATGTCCCCTGTCTCTCTGTCCATCTTGGTAAATAAATTCAGTGCTCCTATCTAACAGCAGTCCTCACCACTCCACACCATTCTGACCCTCCTTGCCTATTTAAGAGGTTGGTTTCCCCGAGAAGTGGAGGGAGCATGGAATAAGGATTAATATCTTTTAATGGGATCCAAAAATTCTTTATAGAAACAAAAGAAAAATCTACATTTCTGTAGGGACCAATGTACCTAAGAAAATTGACTGAGAAAGATCAACTGAGACATAGTCTCTAAATCTTTAAGACAAAGGTTTCGGTTAGAGACAAAAGAACAGTTCTCGAGACCTCCAGACACAATACTGTAATCTACAAAGGTAAGAAAAATATCTTAGCATCAGGGTGTCTGCAGCATCCTGCAGAGCAAGGCAAGAGTGGAGCATTATTTTCAAAAAAAAAAAACAAAGGAAAATCAATAGTGGGCCAAGGACTTCACGTGCTAAAGCCGTCATTCGGCTTTGCAGGCTGTAGAAAGGCAAATCATTCATTCAAGGAGTGAGAGAACTTCACACACATGAACACTCCTTGGATGATCTGCCGGAGGATGAATTCGACCCCACCAACACATGATTGGGGTGGATTTCTGGAAAAAAGGGTCTAGAGTGTCTCCAAGTGTAGATCTGTGACTTAAACAAGGATTGGGAACCAGAGTGGAAACTGATTGTCAATGTCACATGTTCTAACGAAGTAAAAAGAACACAGCTTAAGATTGAGCTGACCTAGAAGACTTGTTGAAACTTGCGTCACTGGCCCACACCCCTAGTTTCTGATCTACTTGTGCATGGGTGGGGTCTGAGAATTTTTACTTCTGTACAAATTCTCAAATGATGGCTCTCTGGAATCTCCTTCAGAACTTTTGGTTATAAGTCAATTCAGGTTCAGCATTTCTTCTTGGGTTAATTTTGGTAAATTAAAAAAAAGTGGCATATTTCATCTGTGTCTGAGATCTTAATTATCAACTCTGATCTTTTCTATATTCTGATATTTTTAACATTATAATTGCCCACAAAAATTTGAGCTGTGAAGAAAGACAAAAAAAGAAAAGTAGAATAGGATAATCAATCATTGCACAGGAAATGGGGAGGTATCAAATTATACTATTTAGAATCATCTAGATACTAAAAGCTTCAGAAAGATTAAAAGTCGAATAAGGGTATTTTGAAAGGTATCAATACGGAAAGCTACTACAGAGCCAAATGTACACTTGAGCAAATATCAAAGCAAATCTTTTCGAAAAGAGTAAGAAGTTATTTAATATAGAGAAAGAAACACAATAAATATAATGAATAAAACTGTTCTAAGATAAATTGACATAGGAGTTGATACTCAATATATTAGTGATATCAGCAAATGTGATCGAGCTTAAGTTACCTTAGTAAAAGAAAGAGATTTTTCAGACTATCTAAGAAAGAAATAGGCTCTGGTTTATTCCATGTACAAGTGATTAAAAGGCTTACAAAGAAAAAAATGAATATGGAAAAAGTTATGGCAGGTAAATGAAAACTCCAGAGCGTGGGGAGCAGATATTACACAGTTCAGAATTTAGGACACAAAACATCAAACAAGACATAGAAAAACATTGTAATGTAATAAACCACATCCACAATATACATGAATCAGTCATGAATATCTATAAACCAAATTGCACAAAACCCACCTATAACATAAAGTAGAAATTACAGCCATGGAAGGAGAAATAGTTAGAAAAAAATAATGATTAGACAGTTTTCCACACCGCTCTCAGGACAAGACAGATCACGTGAACAGAAAGTAAGTATACATAGAGAAGGCTTCGCCAACGTGGATGATACATTAGAGTCTGTAAATGTGTATCAGATGGTGTAGTCTTTAATAAAGAATGTATTTTCTTCTCAAGCGGACGTGAAACATTCATTGAAACTGATCGAATATTAGATCACAAAAGAAATGTAAGTTCCACATTACAAACAGAATTCTTTGATCACAACGCAGTGAAAGTAGAAATGAAAAGCAAACTCTAAACATGTTCTTCCAGAGATGGGGGGGAAAGAGACTGATTTCCCTCCTAAAATAACAAAGACAGTTGAACATGACATTTACTAAGTTATTGATATCAAAATACAAAAGGACAGTGATTCAGAAAAGTCAGGGAACAGATGACACAAGTTTTATTTTGCTGGCCTAGTGCTGTGGGAGAATCCCCAGTCCTTGGGACAGAGAAGGGGATCTGGGAAGAGCTCTGTAGACTCCCTAACCTGGGAGCCTGTGTCTGGAGAGATCACAGTGGCTGGAGTCCATAGAACAGCACGCCACAGACAGGAGCTATAGAAGGTCTCTCCGGGCACAGAATTGATCCGTTCATGTTGATTAGCACATTACTAGTCATGTAAAGAACTACCCAGAGCCATATAAAGAATCCACCGAACAGACCAAAGGAAATACTGCCAGGTACTCTGTCAGGGCAAGGACAGTGTCTGTCCTCAAGAGCTGAACTGGGAAATGTCATAGTTTTGCATAGAAATCTAGAGTATTCAGACAAATTTTGCCTTAGAATGCCCTAGACTAAATGCTGGTTCCATCTAACAAATCTTACAAGCAAGACATGAAAGGATTAACTGTTTCCAAGTAACCTGACTGCATTCCAGAACAAATCTCAAGAGTATTTATAGGAAATACATAAATACCCCAAATCCAATAAGTTAAAATTCATAATGTCTGGTATCCAATCAGAAAATCCCCCCGGCAAACAAAGAAGCAGGAAACCCAATCTATAATGAGGAGAAAAATCAATAAATTAAAACCAACCAGAAGTGGACACAAGTTATAATTAGTACACAAGGACATCCAGTTATAATTGTAAGCCATATGTTCAGAAAATTGGTAGAGAGAGGATTCATGGGAGATCCAAACTGAATATCTGGAGATGAAAACTACAATGTTTTGCATGAAGATACGCTGGATGGAATTAATGGGAGATTAGAAATTAGAGAAGAAAAGATTAGTGAATTCAATTTAGCAAATTTAAAGACAGCAATAGAGTCAATCTCCTAGTTTTAATTTTTGAAAAGGATTGGTGTTGATTCTGCCTTAAGTGTTTAGTAGAATTCACCAAGGAAGCCATCTGGTCCTGAGCTTTCTTCAGTGGGAAATTTTTTTTAAAAAATTATGATTCAAACTCCACAGGAACTATAGGCCTGTCCAGGTTTTCTATTTCTTCCCAAGTTCATCTTGGTGGATGATTTGTTTCTAGGAATGCATTTTCTTTTAGGATGTCCAGTTTATTGATGTATAATTGTCCATAACAATCTCTTATGATCCCTTTTATTTCTGTGGCATCAAATATAATAATGTCTCTTCTTTCATTTATGATTTTATTTGAGACTTTTTTTTTAGTCTAAAGTTTTGTCAATTTTATCTCTTCAAAAAAAATAACTTTGTTTCATAATGTTGTTTTTTTTCTAATTTTCTGTGGTCTGCTGTGTTTATTTCTGCTTTATTCTATGTTACTACTTCCTTCTCCTTCTCTTAACTTTGGGCTTAGTTTGTTCTTCTCTTTTTCTAATTATTTGAAGAACAGAATTAGGTTGATTCTTTGAGACCTTTCTTCCTTTTACCTCTAGCTATTTATTGCTACGAACTGCCCTCTTTGTATTGCTTTTGCTGCATCCCATGCACTTTGGTATGTTCTTTTCTCATTTTCTTTAGTCTCAATATATTTTTTATTTCATTTTTTAATTTCTTCTTTGGCCTGATGGTTTGTTCAGTTGTGTGGTTTTTAATTTCTAAACATTTGTGGATTTCCAGTTTCGTTCCTGCTATTGGTGACTAGTTTCTTTCATTGTGATTAGAAAAGATGCCTGGTATAATTTCAAGCTTCCTAAGTTTGTTAAGGCTTGTTTGTAACCTAATGTGATAGGTCTTTCAGAAAGATGCATTTGGGCTTGAGAATACTCACTCTTTTGCAGTTGGGTGCAAGGGTGTGCATATGTCTGTTGGTTACAGTGGTCGATGCTGTTATTCAAGTTCTCTGGTCTCTGACTGATCTCCTTTCTGGATGTTCTACCCATTATTGAAAGTGAGGTATTGGAGGATCCTGCTACTATTGTAGTGTCTTTTTCTTTCTTCATTTCTATCAATGTTTGCTTTATATATTTAGGTGTTTTGATGTTGGTTGTTGGGATGTTCTGATGTTTATAATTGCTATATCTTCCTGATGGGTTGACCCTTTGATGATTACATAATATCCTTCTTTGTCTCTTAGAAAAATAAAAATAAAATCTGAGAGAAAACATTTTTTTCAGGATTATATATCTGATAAAGAACTTGTATCCGGAGTACGAAA